ATGGGAGAACAGAAAGGCAGTGTATGCACAGGGAGACAGCTTGGAGGGCAGGAGTACATGGGACGGAAGGACACAGGGAAGAGGTAACTATGGGGAGGAAGTCAGAAGAGAGCTATTACATCATGGAAAATTGCAGTCAATGTCATGAGACAAAATGTGTATGCACTGCTATGTGGAAATGAATTTGCTCTGTAAACTTTCACCCAAATCACAATAAAAAGAAGAAGAAGAAGAAGAATCTGGAATTGCTTTCCCAGGGCCAGGGCTATATTGGAAACTCAAATTTCATAATTTTAATTCCCTGATATAAATAAAATGAATACACTTGTTCTTTTTTTGCAGCCTGGAAATGAAATCTACCCTAAAGATGAGAGTGGTAGATGGCTGTATCACAAGTCCGACCTGTGTGCCACTTGGGAGGTAAGTTCAAGTGGCCTCTCATTCTAAAAGACTACATGGTGAAACAGTGATGTGATGATTCCTGTCAGATTTATGGAGAGATATTTCTACTCTCCATGGATGCTGTGGTGCAAAGTACATTACTTGGTATGGCTATTCTAACAAGTCTTTGTAACTCCCACCGGATAACGGGGTGGGACTATGAACATAAGGTGTGTAGAACTCTGATGTTGGGATCGGTTAGTTTTGTCACTCTGCCAGGCTTAAAATGAGCCTTTCTAAAGGCAGAAGGGATATCACTGCCATCAAGAGAGAAGAGCTGGAGGTGAAGTAGAGTGTGCCCTTGGACCTGAGATCCCTGTACTGGATCTCTTTGGCAAAGATGCCCGGCAGAGAGAGATGCTCCAGCAGAGGGAGAGAGAGAGACACCTGGCAGAGATGATGGCAGTGGGGTCAAGAAGCACAAGAGAGAGTGGCAGGTTTACCTGGCCTACGGAGCAAGAAAGCTGAGGGCCCTCAGGCAGGAGGCTTGCTGGAAGAGTGGGTGCACCTAGGTGCCCCTATCAGCAGATTAAAGGCCAGGCCAAGAGGCCAAGGGCAAGAGAGCCATGCCTGAGGACACAGCAACGGGGTGGCTGTCCCAAAGATTGTATCCTGAGAGTGTTCTTGAACCTGAACTGTAGCCTGTTACTTCCCTAATAAATCCCATAATCGTGAGTATTGCCTGTGAGTTCTGTGTGGCCATTGCAATGAATTATTGAACCCAGCAGAGAAGTAGTGAGTGCCATGGGAGGGATGGCTGGCATCAGAATTGGTAAAAGGCTGGAGGGTGGCAGCATGTCTGGCCTCATAGGAATAGGCCTTGGGCTGCTGCTGGTCACTCTGCTTCCCTCTCAGGAGACAAGAGGAGGTCAGAGATGCTGCTTCCAGGCCCTCTTTGCAGACACTCACAGTCAGAGCAGGCGTTTCCAGCAATAAGCAAGGATGTGTGGAATCCCCAGCTCTCCTGGTCAATGATTCTGATTTTGTTTTGTGGGAAGAAAAGAAGGCCAAGGAAAAGGGGAGAGATGGATTGGGAGGAGGAAAAGCAAAGGAAATAAGTTCTGGTATAAAATTAATGACAAAAAACATAAAGAAGACAAAGCCACAATTGGTAAAGTTCTTCAAATTGAATTTTTAAAAATTAACAATACGATGTCTAAAAGAAACAAACTTAAAAATAAAACTGATATGAAAAGATGGAAAATAATTCTCATTCCATTTCTTACCAAGCTTCCCTACTGGCATGATAGCTGGCTCCTTCCCCAAGATCACAAACCCAACCCACTTCTGTGGAGTCAATGCTGACTCACAGCATTCCTAGAAGACAGAGCAGAAGTACCCCATGGGGTTTCTAAGGCTATAATCTCCATGGAAGCAGACTGCCTCATCTTCCCCTGCAGAGCAGCTGGTGGCTTCAAACTGCTGTCCTTTCGGTGAGCAGCCAAGTTCTTAACCACTATGCCACCAGGGCTCCTCCCAAGATCACCAGAAAGGGAAAAAACAAGAACATTCCTAGGTATCAAGGGAACGGTCTATTTTGAACTGGTTTGTTTATAAGGTGGTATGGCAGCTTTGACCTAGAATAGACCAAACGTCAGCGAAAGAGTAAAATGAGGAGGCCGTTCTACAAGTCGTTTTTGTTCTCTCTCTCCTCTCCTGCTGTACCTTTGGAACTAAGTCGCCTGCTCCACACACGCAGAAACTTAGAACTCTTGTCCGGTTGTCTCAGGAATCAAAGCAGGGCAGCACTGCCCTGCTCAGAAGTTGAGAGGAACATGAGTTAATTTACGACTTCCAGCAGCTGTTTTTCTACCCTTCCCATTCCAAATTTCAAAGGCTGGAGAATTGCACTCAAGTGATGCTCTTTTCTCATATGTTAGGGGTAAACCTTGCCATCTGAGCTGCGGAGTTGTTTCAAGGGTGAGGACCAGTTATTACACTAAAGGAGCTAAAATAGAACATTAGCAAAATAAAACAGTAACAAGAAAATATTTTTTAAATAAGCAAAAAGTAATAATTAGGAAAAATAGATTAATATAATAGACATAATAAATGTTGTTGTGGTTATGTGCCATCGAGTCGGACCTGACTCATAGCGACCCCTCCTTGGGTTTCCGAGGCAGTATCACTACAGAAGTAGATTGTGCCATCTTCCTTCTGAGGAGTTGCCAGCCCTCTTGTTAACAGTCCAGTGCCTTAGGCACTATGCTACCAGAGCTCCCTGAGAATGTTGTACCCAACCCTCATCCCCTTTCAATTGATTGTCTGATCACATCATGGGGGATGATTACATTAACTCACAAATCACTGAGAAACATGGCCTAGCCAAGTTGACATATACTTTTGGGAGACATAATTCAGTCCATGGCACCTCACTACATACCTGTAATGGACCTATCGGAGACAAAGCGCTGCTTAGTAGAGTGGATATAGGAGGGAAAAAATATCATATTGAAAGATCAGAATGAGGAAAGCCCCCAGTATGAAGAAAGAAATCCAAGGAAAAATTTCTTTAGTGGAAGAAATGTTAAGAAACATCAAAGATAAAATTAGAAGTTCCAATACACACACAAAAGGCATCTCAGCTGAAAAAAAGAAAAAGGAAAGAAAAAAGGAAGAGAGGTAATATTTTGAAAGAAGAAAAATCAGGGATGTTAGACGGGTCATGGAGAAAAGAGGAGAAAACCCACACCTAGATGCATCATAGTGAAATTTCAGAATATCAGAGACAAAGGCAGGATGGTAAAACTTCCAGAGTACAGCTGACATACCAATAAAGGAGACAAAACAGAATAATAAAAACTAATCAATGTGTAAAAAGGCAGGAAAAGAAGTAAGTGGAAAAAGGATAGATGGAGACAATAGCAAACAGAGAGGAAGATGGGAGATTATGATGATGATGATTATGATGATGATGATGTCAGTAATCACATTGGTCCTGCTCACTGCCATCGAGTTGGATCCAGCTCCTAGAGACCCCTCCTTGGATTTCTGAGGTGGTATCACTACAGAAGTAGATTGCCCAGTCTTCCTTCCGAGAAGTGGCTGGTGGGTTTGAACTACCAGCTTTCTGGTTAGCAGTCAAGTGCCTTAGGCACCATGCCACCAGAAATACCACCTCAGAAACCCAAGGAGGGGTCACTATGAGTCGGATCTGACTTGAGGGCAGTGAGAATAATCACACTAACTATAAATAATCTAAAACATCCCAATTAAAATATAGAGGTTATGAGAATGGATAAAAAACAAAAATCTCATTATATATATTCCCACTATGTAGAAGAAATCTATTTTAAGTAAAAAGACACAAATAGTTTAAAGGAAACTTTTTCCTAAAAGTCAAAGATTCAAAAAGATAGACTAAGGTACCACCAATCAAAAGAATACTGCTATTTTAATATCAATAAAGATTTCAGAGCAAAGACTATTACCCGAGATAATGAAGTTTATGAAGGGATTAATCTTAAGTGGGGAGCTCTGGTGGTGTAGTACCTAAAGCATTTAATTGCTGACCAGGAGGCTAGCAGGTCAAACCCACCAGCCATTCCTCAAAAGGAAGGTTGGACAATCTACTTCTATAGTGATACCACCTCGGAAACCCAAGGAGGGGTCACTATGAGTTGGGTCCGACTTGATGGCAGTGAGTTTGGTTTTGGTAATCTTAAGTATCTAGGCACTGAACAACAGAGCTTCCAATTACATGATGCATCAAAGGCAGAATTAAAGGGGAAGGAGAAAGAGCCACAATTATAATCAAATATGTGAAAAATTTTCTCTTAATAATTAATAAAATTAATAGGCATAAAACCAGTAGGGCAATAGAGGATCTGAAGATTATCAACCAGATTAACCGATTTGACATTTATAAAACACTCCACCAAAATATAGCAGGATGCAATTTTTTCAAGGGCGCATGGAACATTTACCAAAATATATAATTTCTGAGCTATAAAAAAGTCTAAGTATCTTTTTAAATATTCAAATTATATGAAGTATATTCTCTGACAAAATGGAATTAAACTTTAACTCAACTGCAAAAGATATCTGAAAAATAACCAGGTATTTGGGAACCAAAAAATGCACATGTAAGTAAAGAAGAAATCACAAGAGGAAGTCAGAAAAAGTTTGAATGGAATGAAAATGAAAAACTGACTTATCAAAACGCACGTGCTATGGCTAAGGCAGGGAAAGGTTCAGGGTTCAAATCTCAGAAAGGAAGGAGGTTCTCAAGTCAAAGTTGCTCACTTGCAGCCTGATGTGAGGTCTGACGCTGTAGAAACTGACAAACATTCCATGTTGCTGTTGTTGTTATGTGCTGTCGAGTCAAACCCGACTCATAGCGACCCCTCCTTGGGTTTCTGAGGCAGTATCACTACGGAAGTAG